TTCTCTCTCTCTCTCTCTCTCTCTCTCAAAAACAAACACCCCCCCCCAAACAAAAACCACAAAAGGACAATAGCATCAAGGATGTAAGGTCTTTTCTAGTTAGAAAAGGCTACGATGTAGGTGAATAAAGTGAGCACAATTTTAGTGCCATAGAGACGATTACCAAGATTACCAATACCTGCAGCTATACTCTGAGCTCTTTGTAAGGAACTGTCTACAATCTTTTGTATCTTCTACATAGTACCTAGAACAATGTCTTACACGTAAGTATCAGATGTTTGGTTGAACATTCTTTTGAAAATCATTTAAGCGGAATGATGTAAATTGTAGTTGGATCCTAGTGCCTTCATGTACTAGCTGTGTGACCCCCCCCCCCATTAAGTTATTTAACTTCTCTGTGTCAGTTCCTATAGTATCGGCTCATGTGGTTGTATTAAATGCGTTAAGACGTGGGGGGGGGGGTGGTTAAAAAGAGCACATTGTAAACATGGCAGGTGAACAAATATTGGCAAAAATAATCATAAGAATCATTATCATAAAAATCCTCAAATTCTCACACCACCCTTGCAAATTTTATTGGTTGTGTCAGCTCAGAAACCAGCATGATTGGGAATCAGCAGCTTCCTCTGAAAGTCTGAAATTGTTAACTTTTGGCTCAGCTCTCAAATTGTCACGGTTTGAGCCAGCACCTTATCTCCCAGGACCCTTTCTGCAAGGGGCCGGCAACTAGAGGATAGGCGCTGTTTCTGCATATTATTCACCCTAGTGAATAGTCTGCTAGTGGTTCTCTGCCGCTGCTTCTCTGACTACTTAGGGTCACAAAGGATGACGAGTCAGTAAACACAGTTAACGGAGAGGAACAGGTGTCTCTACCTGGCTGCAGTTTGAACTGATCCGTTGACTAATGTTTATGTCCCAGCAGACCCCAACAGTCTTTACGTGAAGAAACTGGCCTCAAACTCAAACAGGAAGATTTGGGTTTGATAAAAAACAAATCTTGGGAAGTCTCTAACAATTACTGGGTCCAGATGAATAAGGTTTGCATTGGCAACCTCCTTGAGTAGTAGAAGCTGGGGAGATGGGGACGGTTTGAGACCCCTTGCCCAGCACCCTCAAGGTCCCCGTCCTCTACGCCTTCACCGCGGCACCCGGCCTTCTTCTCCAGACAGGCTTCCACAAGGTGGGGGTCCTTGTTTCTGAGACACACACAGCACGAGCTTTCTGAAAGCGTGGGGGTGGAGACACTTGGGCATAGTCTGAGGAGTCAAGGCAGGTTGTGACCTCTCTTGAATTTCCACTTGCTCAAGGCCCTCTTTGTCCACTGCCCCGCCTCCCTGCTTCCCCATCTCTGTAGCTGTTCCATAGGCCTGGGACAAGTTCTGTTCTAAATCCCACGCTCTCCCCTCTGCTCTTGCCATGACACCGCCACACCGTTGTTTCTTCCCTTTCAAAGAAGAGAAAAGGAACTCCTCAGGTTTATTTTTCCTTCCGAGAAACCCTTCCCGGATTGGTGTGTGCATTTGCTTGTGTACGTGTGTTTCTTCTTTGCCTGGCTTGCTCTCTTTTATCGTTCCCGTTTTTATTTGTGCCCTTCAATTCTCTACATCCCAAACTGATCTGGCCGTGTGTATGCTACAGATGCTTTCCTCTCTACCCCTGTAGGGGATTAACACGGCAGATCTGTCACTGCAGTAGATGCCATCTATGTGTCGTGAGCATGTTTGTTCTTCTCGGTGTGTTGGTGTTAGATTGCAGGCCTTCAGAAGCCAGAGCTGCGGTAGACGTCACGGTGCCCAGAGCAGTTCTGTGTCATCACTTGAAATGCCTGGTGACGGTAATCTTTGCCAACACACGGGCTGGGGTGCTGCCGGGACTAGCTTCTTCCCACCTTCCCTTAATCTCCTCTAGGTTTCCCAGTAAAAACTAGGCGGCCTCTTTCCCCCCAAAGGGTGTTCTCGCTGAACTTGGATACGGAAGGCCTGAGTTTCAGTCCCAGTTCTGCCCTTTGCTAACCGGGTCCTCTGACAAGCCGCTAAACGAGTCCTGGCCTCCTTGTCTGTAAAAGGGACGCTGTTGATGTCCTTGATGAGGACAGAGTGTGATGGCAGCTGCACATTCGCACGCTGTAAACTCGTTTTTACATTTATTTATTTTTTGAGAGACAGCACAAGTCGGGGTGGGGCAGAGAGAGAAGGAGACACACAATCCGAAGCAGGCTCCAGGCTCCGAGCTGTCGGCACAGAGCCCGACGTGGGGCTCGAACTCACGAACCGCGAGATCAGGACCTGAGCTGAAGTCGGACGCTCAACCGACTGAGCCCCCCTGGCGCCCCCGTACACTCTAAACTCTTTACGAAGGTCATGGACCGTGATGCCTCTTTCTACCAGCCCCAGGCCCCGCACTGTTCTTGGTATCCAGAACTTGAACTAGACAGCCATAATCACCTCCTTTCACAAACCTCAAGTGAACTTCATGCTTCAGACCTGGGTGGCAATCTAACGGAAAAGAATTTTGCTTTGAGAATTTGGGTTCTTGAGTTTCTCATCCAGGCACGATATTTTTTTGTCAGGCTTGCCTTGAGACAGTCCATTTCAGTCACTCTGAGCCTCAGTATCAGTATCCCCACCCGTAAAATGACCACGACAAGAAGTTTCAGAAAGAAAAATACTATACTGTTAGAACATTATTTATATCAATAGAGCCAAAAGCTGGAGGGTGTACATGGAATAAACTTACTTCCTCTCTTTGTGACTCAGGTTCCCTTTCAGTAAAGTGAAGACAAGTGATTATGAAAGAATAAACTTCGGCCATGGATTATTTGTATTTTACCACATTGGACTCAGCAGATCATAAGATTTTCGTGTTTTGGTTTATTTTTCCCATCAACCTAGGGTTGTTGTAAAGATAGAGGAGTTAATGTCAGTAACATGAGTGGGGATCCCCAGATTAAAGGTTAAGTGAGCCCAAAGGAGAAGTAACTTGGCCCAGAGTCACAGCTCAGCCAGGAGGGGCAAAGCCTGTGTGTTTGTTT